TGGCAAATTGATTATAACTAGTAAGTTTACCTAGCAGGTAAGCATACACAACGTTAATCTTTCGAATTAGTTGTACATTAAAATGTAACTAAAAAAATTCATATTTTATTATGGTTGCTAAAATCGTTAAAATTGAAGATGTGTTCTTAAACCCATCATTCAATAACAGAAAATAGCTAAAATGCCTACAAATAATAAATAAAAAAAAAACTATTTTAATATAGATTGAAATGCACACAAACTCAATTTTTTTAATTGATTTTTTTTTTTTTTTTCTTATAATAACTTAAATGTGGCTTGCACAATAATTACAGATTTCCCCAACTAAACAAACATGTGTAAAAACACCGCAACCATAAACGTTCATTCATAATCTATATATATCCGAAGTTGAAGCGCTCATATTCCAGATACTTCCAAATTTGAAGCATCAAATTCCAAATTTGTATTCAATGAATTATTATGAATTATTGAAATTTGTTTTTTTAATGATAGTTGTATTCGACTATCGATTGTTTTATTATTTGTTATATTTATCACTATAAGTTACACCGTTGTTGCATAAAAAATAACTTTGATTTTTAGATAAAAGAAGTATCGTTTTCCAACAATGATTTTTCTTTGACATATTCAGAATTCTAATTGAAAAACATCTAGTTAAATATTCCAGGATAATAGCCAGTTCCTAAATAATTAACTGTCGGTTTCCAATTATTGTTGTTATTATATTCTAATTCATTACTATATTTATACCATCGCGTAAAAAAATATACTGAAGGTTATTTTGCTTTACCTAAAATATAAGGGTTCTCCTTTAATTCTTTCTTTAACGTATCCAGGAATAATAGATGGTTTCAATCAGATCCTGTTTGACTCCAAACATCTTCTCCCTGTTTCTCTTTTTCTATTTTCTTTGTTTGCTTGTTTGTTTGTTTGTTTTTTGTACTGTTTTTATAGTTACACCACTGCATAAAAAATTTTTTTATTATCAAAAAAAATTTTCTTTACTTTTTTGAAAAGTTTTTATTTTTTATTTTTATGAAAGTTTTTATTTTTATGAAAATTATTAAAAAAAGATAAAAAATGGTTGGAAAATTATTTTTTTAAAAAAGATGAAATAAAAAAAAAAGATTTGGTCGTTCTTTTATATTTTTATTTTCCTGTAACGTGACAACCAATAACAATGTCAATAACGATGACATAAATAATATCAATATCAACAAAATAAAACAACAAATGGATATTTTAACCCCTTTTTGGCATAGGTTTAAATTTTTTTTCAAACTACATAGTATATTGTAGAGAGGCATTTTATTTATATTGATCAATTAGCATGGTGATCCTTTTAACAATGAAGCAAAGATAATTTTACAAGAAAGTCGAGGATGGAATTGACAGAAAATTTTATGAAGAATAGTATCTACTCAAGAGAAGATCAAAGGTAAAGCAAAAGAGTGAATACATTATTTTTCCTTCAAATAAGATTTTTTTTTGTAGAATATCAATCATTAAATCCAACATGAACCTTGGGCGTAAAGGTGGTTTGGAGTACATTTCGGGGTTCGTTTCTAAAGAAGCTCACGAGCCATGTAGTGGTTAAGCAGTAAGCTCTGCAACTTACTATCTTCCTATAGAAAGCATTTAAGCTTCTAATCTTTTGATTTTCTAGTTTTTATATCATGTTTAGCTAAACAGGAAAGCAAATCGTACCTTGGACTTTACGCACCCATCGAAAAATAACTATTGATTCGACATCTTTATCATCTTCTAATCGGAAAGTTCTTGATGTTTTATGGTCTCGACAATATTTAACGTATTTAACGGTGAAAAAGTTAGACGAAAGCAATTATGCTTTTTTTTTATTTTGCAGAGAGCAACTCCTATCCTTGTCCACTGCTTGATTAGGAGAATTACTGGGCATTTATCGTTGGTAGCTATCCTAGACTTTGATGTTTGACACCCTAACTTTGACGTTGGTAGAGATCTGCTGATTTTGAAGAAGGAATTGGTCATACACCTCCCTTTATCACTAAATAAAAAAAAGCATACTTTAACATTATCTCTAGAAACAAGAAATTTCAGAATACAAAATCGAAAAAGAGCGTTATCTTCAATTAATTCCAAATATTGATGATCAAATACAAGCAAAGAGTACAGATCTTGTAAATAAATGGCATTATGATTACACAGAGAATACAATAATGTATGAATCCCAACTAGATGATTATAATCCAGCATAGAAGAGAAAAAGCCAAAGCTATAAATGATATCAAGGAAACAATAATAATGACAACATTTTATTTTGAAATCCCAGATGATGTTGACTATTCATCAGATAATTAGGTAAATAAAATTTCAGTTCATACTTTGCTTTTAATATATCCGAATGAATTGATTGTTTCTATTACATCAACCTGAAAACTTTGATTATAATATTTCATATGTTGATTCAAATGAGGATAATTCTGAAACACAAGCACCAGTTCGCCCTGATAGTTTGCAACCTCTATCTAGAGAAAGAGAGAGAGAGGAGTATGTCATCATGAGAAATTAATCACCATAATCTAAAACGAGTAGATTATTTTGTTGGATCTTCAAAATTTCTAAAAAGAAACCTGTTAGTTGTAAACTAAAATATTAGCAATAGACTGTGGAATTTAACTTTTATCTATATTTGTAAACTACACAAACACCATCATCATCAATATCTCCACAAACACCACAAACACTAACATCACCTTCTTCACAAACACCTGACATAAGTTTTTCTGATGAAGAAAAAGGAACTGTTTAGGGTGCTCCCTTCATTGTAAAGGAAAAGAAACTGCTTAATATATTTTGCACAATATCGTACCCCATTCTTACCATGTCAAAATTTTTACACTATATAAGCGTGACATTGTTTTATTAATTATACAAAAATAAAAAAACTGATACAAGTATATTCTTATATGATTTAAATATCATATTTTTCGGGTTCTGGGTTCTAAGTGATGATGCACTCCTCATGTGAGCATTCGAATTGTGTAAAAAAATCAGTATCTATAGATATTCCAAATCAATATAGACGTTAACGTTAAAACAAATCCAAATGTATTGCTATTTTATTTTGTTATTAAAATGACCCTTAGAAAAGGAGATGGTTCATGGATAAATTCAATCAGTAAGATAATAAAAGTTTGAAAACCTATCTCTTGAAACTTTCATCAGAACAGAACTTTAATTGGTTCTTTCCTTCCCTTTCAACGACTGCTCAACAACATCTATAGATAAACATAATTTTTCTTAGATGAAAATGTAAACCCGAAATACTTGGTAATACAAACGTTCACTTTGTTGCAACATGCCCCAACTAATTTAACTAATTTATTTATTGTAGTATTTACATCACAAATTTGCCTCGCGCTATATTTGCCACGCTGACTCCCCATTTATAGGTATGTATGCGAAACAAACTTTATTTCTATATATCAAGCAAATATTGATAACAAATAAGTGATTGAGTCATGTGATTTTATATAATATTGTGATCGTTGTTATTTTGGGATTTGATAAATTGGTCCAGGAGACGCAGCATTTAAATTCCGTAGATATAAAACAAACAAATGAGTCATTGAATAATGGCTAGGCATCCCTCAAAAATTCAAAAATGTCGTACATTTCATAGTGAAAAATCAAACTTTACATATAAAACTTTATACACAAGTGTTTTGAAGCAGCCGATCCACCAAAGTTGAGTTCACAAGGCAAATACCTTTATGTTTTTCTGAATTTCATCAAATTTGTAGCAAAAATGACCTTTAGACACTATATTAAATAAATACATTTTACTTCTTGTGGTTGTTTGCAATTAAAATTCTACAAGTGATAATGAAATTAAAACAATTATAATAATCATAAATAGTGAGTGAATAACTTTATACATAAATAAATTCGACAATCTTTTGACAAAAAAATTTTCATGTTAATGGTATATATACTCTCCATACAACCAACACTCCACCTCTATATGTAATTTTTTTGCTGTAGATAGAGAGTGTTACTAAAATGAAAAACGAATCGGGGACAAAAGTAAAGTTTATGAACTCTACCAACTCCAAGGCGCAATACTAGGTTGTTCAAATACTATGAATTATTCAAGTCACACATCAAGATATTTTGTTAAATCATTAAGTCATACAGTATAATCGATTTATTTGTTTTGTTCTATTTAAAAAAAGTTAAAAGTACAGTCAAAGCCCGTTATAGTGGATCTCGTTATAGTGGATCTCGTTATAGTGGACACATAATAAAATCTCGTTATAGTGGACCTTTTTTGTTTCCAATGCTAATTAATTTCGCTCGATATAGTGGAAAACATAATAAAATTTCGTTATAGTGGAAAAAAGGAGAAAAATTACATATGGAACCAAGGGTCCACTATAACGAGCTTTGACTGTAAGTGTTTTTTAAAACCTTCATGCCTTTTTCATGGAAGGAATGTAAAAAAAAATAAAGAAAGCCAAGTTCTTACAAAAGAAAATTTATTTTTTATAACCGATCCTTTTTTAAAAAAGCTATAGAAGAGTTCTTTACTAAAGGTTATATTAAAAGGAAGCTGAGGATTTGTTTTTACAAGGAAAAAAATTTCAACAAATGGTGATATATAAATTTTTATTTTACAAATATGTACGTGTTTTGTGTTTTATTTATTTCTACTAATAAATACTAGTAATTTCATAGTGCGTGGATTCACAAAATCTATATATGTAACATCGAGTTATAATAATGGTAACAGTTTAATGATAATGATAATAATGATATTAGTAATAGTGAACCTTTAAAAATATTAACAGATAGGTCAAGTTTGAGTTTGCGTATTTTTGATCAGAATTTGATGTTCTTAAATTTTAATACTTTAAATAATAATGATAATAAGTAATGGGAATAATGATGGTAGTTGTGGACAATTAGGTAATAACAATAATGGCGAACTATCTGATTATGACAATTAAATTTTTAGTCAATCGCTGGGAATTTTTCATCGACTGACATCACTACTTTAAAGATAACTGTTTCGATTTGAGAAATAATCAAATTATACCCAAAACTAATTCACCTATTATCTTTATTGTCATCGATTAAGTTCGCTCTCCCAAAATTAATCGGTGACAATATTAATTAATAATTTATTAGTGCACGTCGAACGAAATAATGAAAAATCAACATCTCCGGGTAACATAAAATTTTAATTATTCAAAGAACAACTTCAACGCTAAAAAAAAAATTTTTATCAAACCATAATGATTGACTCAACGACAAAAGAATTTAACATCTTTGTTTTATCATTTTTAAAGCTTCAACTTCAAAATTAAATCTTATAAAACCTGTACCTAAATCTGTCACTATGTAATACATACCAATATTAACCTCGGACACTAAAGCGCGTTTTTATTTCATTATTAACTTCAAAGTCAAAATCGAAGAACATCAAGTTAACACAACTTGTGTGTGTGCAAAAGTTATCCTACACACCAATATTGACCTGTCTATGTATGTTTTAAAGTCAGGAGCTAAAGACAATTCGAACGCGGTATTGATTTTATGAAATGTAGTTTTATTATGATTGCAATATTTATTATGATTGCATTTTTTTTAATTAGTTTCATAATATAATTAGTTTCCAATTTAAGAAGCTAATTATTGAAAATATGAATTTTTTCCATGAGTAATTGAATCTTTCTTTGAAGGCGCTGATATACAAGTAATACCATACTATTTACTATACATATATACTAAATCTTTCCCAATGAAACAGAGATTAATTTTTTGCTGAAATACCTTTTTGGAAAGACATTCGCATTAAAAAAAATTTCACAAATGTCAAAAGATACTTTTACAAAAAAAAAAACAAAAAAAAAACAAAATATATTAAATATAAATTTTATATATGTATGTGATTAATGGATTAATAGGGAGTATGCCTATTTATATTATATATCTCTTGATTGGTTACTCTTACAAATTTATTGATATAAAATCATATTCTATGTACGGTAAAGAAGAAAAAGGAAACATATATATAAATTAATATTAATTACAAATTCTAAATCTTTAATGTGATAAATAATTGTAAATATCCATTAATTGTTAAAAAGATTATGTAGATGTCTAAAAAAACAGTCAACTAATTAACTATAACCCAAAATACACATGTGTATAGTAAAAAGTTCTTTGATCCGATTTTTGACAATAACCAGCATCACATATGTGTAAAATCGATCAATATTGTTACAGTATAAGATTACATGCAATTTAATTTGTTATGTCTACCTGGAATTCCCATCGATTGTCTAATAATCCTCTAGCAGTATCTTCCAATAGTACCTCCCTTCGACTTCCAACATACACTGTCTTATTTAATACTTGTTGTTTTAATTCACTGATTTTATCAGGATCAATAGGTTTTTCTAATAATTCTGAAAGTTGTTCTACTGCTACTTCAAGATCACGTTGATTATCCTCAAAAATTGCTGTTTCATTGTTGCGCGTTAGGTAGAAGGCAAAAGCATATGTCCATTTAAGAGTCATACGACAATGAACAAGAATATCAACAGCTTTCTTCAAAAATTGGACTTCAATCCAAGATAAATCAGAAGTTTGTTGCATTTCTTCCATTTTCTTTTCAGTCTTATTATATAGTTCTCGATCAAGTTTAGCAGATTGCTCGTGATTAGCGAAACGATTGTAATACTATATATTTATATACAAAAAAATCAATTAATATAAATAATAAAAATACAAATATAAATATATATATATATATATATATATACGCTTACATGAAGATATCTCTCAAGAGATGCTCGGGATTTTGCTTGTGAATCCCTTGCGTCAATACTATTTTTTTCATCAAACCGATTACAATTATACCAACTAGTTCCATGTTCCGACCAAGGACCCATACAAACCCAACAGAATTCATACTTGCATTTACGGCAAGTCATATGATTACACCCACCATTCTTTTCAATTGTTGAATGGCATTTCCCACATTCTTTTGTATGAGCAGAAATCCAATTTGCAGTCTCTGAATCATCTTCACATTTTTTAATCCATTTTTTAACAAGCGCACAAATAGATGGTTGATGGTCTGGTAAACCACAACCAAAACAAAAACGATGACAGCAATGACATTCAACTGTAGGAACAATGGTGGTGAGTGAAGCTTGTGGAACATGACATTCAATTGCATATTCACAACTCGGAGCCGGGCACCAATGCAGATTTTCATTATCATCAACGTATGTCCGATTCAGTAAGTTTCGATATCTATTGATTAGAAATAAATAAGCATATATATAATTTAAAAAAATCTCCTATTACAAATATTTAATAACAATAACAATAGTAATAACGATTATAATTTACCTTTCATGTATATCTTTATCAACCAACATTTCAACGGTCGTTTCATCAACAATTACATTACATTTATTTGCCATACACAATATTCTACGGCTTTCACCTTCTTCTTTGATTTTTTGTGTCAAATAATGTTCATAACAATCTTTACAAAATCTGTGTCCGCATGATAGAGCTATAGTGACCGTATTTCTATCATCATTACAACAAATCTCACAAATGAAACCAGACGATTTCATAAATTTTGGTGCCTTAATCGTATCAGTTATGACTCCTGCTGAATCCAAAACACCTTTCTCTTCATCCATGTAACGTTCTAAAAGTCTTTCCTTATTCCAACGAAAATGGCGAAGTAAAGTAGCAACATGTTGTCTTTGGATGCCAAGAATAATAGATACATGAGAAATTTCATCTTCCTGATTCTTAACAATGTCTTTAACGGAATGAACTTTAAAATCTACTTGGTAACTTTTTTTACGATCTTTTTCTGGGACTACTTCTGAAAAGTTTAAATCTACCTCATCTTCATCTACATATTCTTCAGCATCATCATCATCATCATCGTCACCTACGAATCCATCTTTTGTTTATTAAAGAATATATTATTTTGAAAATTTAAGATTTTGTTAGATTAATTTATTTATACAAAGTATACCACCATTTTTTTCTTTGATGGTTTTATTTATATATGTATGTATGTATGTATATAATGCCAAATAGTAATCAATATTAATATAATACCAGAATCCTGATAGGAATCCTCATACATTGCCTCCTCGTCAGAAAGATCCGACATTGATTCAATTTTGCGTTTTTTATACTTTGGGGACGACGTTTTGTTCACTCCAAAAATTTATTAATAGTTTATTTGTTTGTAACAAGCTTTCCCACAAAATAATAGGCAGTAAATCAAGTATTGTTTTTTTTAAAAAAAAGAAAAAAAAATATTAATATAAAATAAAGGGAATTCAAATATAAATATAATCACGTGTAACATTATTAATTTTCCCAAAACTGCTCATTTCATTTTTCATATATAGATTAGAATGAATGCACATATACCCCTTTACAAGATATTGTTTCAAACGTGAACATCAAAAGTCAAAATTATTAAGTTCACTAAAAATAAAATCTATTTTAACAACTTGAATTTTTGGTTTAGTTTTAAGATATTGTAATGTAGATTAATAATCTTTTATGTTCAGAAATGCCTAAGCTTGATCTTACTGAAAAAAATACAGTCAACAGTTTTTTAGCTTCCGGAAATTACTACAATAATTAGAGAATGCACATTTGATAAAAAAATTTATTTCCAACAAAAATACATCTTATAAATACTTTTGACGATTAACAAGTAAACCTTATTACACTAAATCAGAAAATCCTCCCTCCCTATAGCTAATTGTGGCTTCGTAGAAAGTCATCATTGCTGCTGCTGCCAGCTAGACATATTCTGCTACAGTTAAAATGGCAACCAAAGAGGTCAGTAAGTCCTCCTTATAAATGGATCAGGTGCAAAAAATGTTCCTTATGTTATGGGCAGCATTAACATCTCGATTCCAATGTGTCAGACAGACCAGAATCTTTGATGCCTTATCAAACCACCACACAAAGAACAGACTGAGGAAGTACAGAACTCATCAATGAACATTTCCAGTATTAGTATGAATATGTCACAAATTACGTACCTTCCTTATATACGGTTTTTCAGTATGTTACAAACTCTGTTCTGATTTCGTATCAATTCTGTATTTCACGCTAAATTTGAAAGGGGTAATTTTTCAAAACTGTATAAAAAATACGTTAATTCCGTATGTTTTGATTCCGCGTATAATGCACGTAATAGTGTACTGAAATACATTTATTTTATTATTAATATTGGCAGATCAATCAATTGTTGTACAAAAGTACTTTTTTTATTTTAAAAAACATTATTATTATACAAACATTAATAACATTTCTCTCTTTTATATACATTAATATGTAGCACGGTTAGATAATTCTATCAGAGAGCTTTCTAGGAATCAGCAAAAGTGGAGAACAAAGAAATACATGGTAGTGGTATTATTATAATAAATAGTACAACATAATATCACTAATGGAAAGATTCGTCTTCAATTGAAAGATCCGCCTGTATGTTTGGTAGATTCGATGGCTTATCACATTATGCACTGTATTAAGGTTATTTTCATATTTAATATTAACTATTAATTATTTTGATCTTACTCTTTATTGCTATAATCGGATGATAACTTGGAGTTGGTGAATAAATATGTAAATTTTGTGCAAAGGATTAATGGGCACCAGAGTTGTTGTATGCTGACAAAGAAAATTCACATTTACAAATGGCGTGTAAATATTATGGACTATGTTGATGGTGAACCACTTTTTAATATTTCTCTTTCAACTGAAAAATGGCAGCAAGTTATTGAACAAGTTAAAAAATACTTTCAATACTTCATTGTGCCAATCTACTCTTTGGTAATCTCTGTAGCAGTAAGGTTATGGTAAATCAGGATTATTTGACAATAACATTATTACAAATATTGAACAATTAGTGACAGTGGGGGCAAACCTCACATTCTTCTCAAGCCTAAATGAGATACATAATGGGGAGCTAAAAGTCGAATTAGTTGGGTTTAACCGGGGAGAGGAAGATGAGTTTACATATCCATATTTCATGAATCATAATATCCAACGACCAGAAGGAGTGATGGATGGGAGATTTATTCAAAAACTCATGATAATGAATTTTTTTCGTCTTTTAATAGAAATTCGAATTGATTTCAACTGGATGTATGTATCTTTCCTTAAAAAAAATTTTTTTCTTCTCACAAGTCTAACAACACAATTAAAAGTTATATATATATATAAATTATAATTCTTTCTTTTTATTACAATTATATTATTCATTATATTATTAGAAAAATTCAATAATTATTATATTACTATTTTATGCAAAATTATCAACCACTTTAAAATAACACCACCAATCCTTGTCCAGGATAAGCAACAGGTAGCCAGTCGCAAAAGAGTGATTAATGGCAATTCACCAAAAACGCTAGAAAAAGGTCTTGTAGAGAAAGAACACAATAAATGTAAAAATATTGGAGAACATATCTTCCTTTTTGTCACTGATTCCAAAAAGCGTAGTGATGAGACTTATAAGGAAAATGAAATTTTGATAGCAGAAGAGGAAAAAAACTATTTACTTGGAGATTTGTTGACAAATTATTCTCCGACTCCTAAATAATCGCTTGGTGCAATTATTTTTTAAAAAAATGATCACCCCGAGGGGCAGATCCCATTTTTGGTAAGCCAATAATAGTTGATGGCTTTTCCCTGTCGTTCACCGTATTTAACAACCTTCAAGAAGAAGGAATAAGTTCTGAAAATTTATGTGTCAAATTTGGTTTAAATTTCTGGTTAATTTTATTAATAGAATTTCGATGCTGATCACCAAATAATTTCGGGAAAAAACACTTGAAAATTGTTTAATATTAATCATATTGAAATTTTTTTTATATATTTTGTTGGTTGTTTGCATTAGTGTCTATACTTTGATCAATTTATATTAATAGGAATTACTGGATCAGCTCTTGAGTTATTAGGAATGAGAATTGATGTTTTGGAATTATTAATTATTATTACTCTATTATATATAATTGGTCACAATTTTCATGATCTTGTTGAAAGAAAGAAATTATATAAATCTGTTATAGATTTGAGTGCTCCGGAACCAATTCTCCCCTATCATGTCCGCTCTGTACTTGGGAAACAAGGATGGAACCTCGCCCGTATTCCTGCTAGGGGATACGGAGCACCCTCTTATATGTTTACTGCATCAATGTCATTTGAAATAGCGATTGGAGATAATAATTCTTGGAGTAAATGGGTAAGAACAGACACGTTAAGAGTAGTTTGAAAAATATCATCCTTTACTACCAAGCATTACTACTAAAAGACTAAAAGACTAAAAGATAATTGTTAATGGAAATTTTTATTTACTAATAAAAGAATTTTTCTTGAATAAATTATACAATTTTCTAAATGTATGATGATGATGATGATAATTCATATGACTTCGTATTCTATGTGTGTATTATACACTTATAAAAAATACTTTAATTAAAATTAGTAATAATAATTGCATATTTATAGATATTAAATATTAATGTTAAAAAATTTTGAATATTAAATTAATAATTTCTCCAATATATATATATATATATATATATATATATATATATATATATTTGAATTTACACGACATTCCTAAGAGAAAATTTTCAAAATAATCAATCAACCAATTGTCAAAAAATAAAATAAAAATGAATGTTTGAAAAAACTGATATTTTACTAAACTTACTGTGGTATTTCAAATTTTTTTCCATGTAACACACTACAATGTTAATAGTAAAAACAATTAATAATTTCCAACACTAATTGGTTAATTCATCAGACATCTTTTTTTAAAAAAAAATTTACTTACTTTTTATAATAGATATAAAAGAAATCACTATATAAAGCTGTTTGGATGGCACCAGCGATCCAAACAATCCAATCAGTATATCCTTCATATTGGAAACGCCATAACCAATTCAATAAATAAAGTGCCCGATATGCACCTAGCGCAAATAAATAATGTGTTGTGATTGTTTCAGCTTCTCCAGTACGTGAAAGCATAAATAATTGTGGTAGAATAGCGACAGATTCAAGATAAATTGAAAATGTCCACAAGATCTTTTGAGAATTGGTTAATTAATAATATTTCTGTGGTAAAAAATCAATCCAATTAAATTACCAATAAATTAACTTTTACCTCAAGGAATATGAAACGATAGTTAAGCAATAAAGCAAGTATTAAGCTTGGTCCTAACAAAAATTCTATACGAAATGTATCTAAACTTGGATCATAAGTTGCTCGGAACTTGTATTTCATCAAATATAAAATGTAAATTGACGTAGCTATAAAGAAAATTTTCATTAAAGTGTTGTACAATGAAATCCAAGTTGTAAACAAATCCAAGTAACGTGTAATGAAGACTATTGCATAAAGTAGTTGTGTCTTAAATGAAATACCTGGATGTGAAGAAGTATGTATTAATTAACAAGAACATTAATAATAAATAACCTCTTGAATTATATAATGCATAAAAACATACCAGAGCATGATCTTGTTTTTTGAATCTTTAACAAGATAATGAAAATTGATGCTAAATGCATCAAATCTGCTAAAAGTCGAAAAACATTCATTTTGAATAATTTTTAATTTTATTTAATTTTATTAGTTTTATAAAACTGAACTGATCTAAATTGTTCCTAAATAGGGACAAGTCATTTCCAAATTTAGAAATAATCTAAAATGTAACAAAGCCATCTAACAAAATTTGTCGTGAGACTAGTGATGTATTTGATTAAATTATTTATCAAAAATACGTACAAATATTCTCTTAAATTTAAAAACTAAATTGAACAAATTCATTAAAATTAAAGATGCCTCCAAAAAATCGTGGTCCATGTGTTGTACCAACACTAATAATGAGTTCAGAAGTTAACTGATTATACTATTAATAAAATTAGACTTAAAGATGTAAATAATGAATATGGATTTTTAAAAAAAGATGATCAATTATACTACAGGATACATTATTTAAATATAGTTGGGCCAGACAGACATGAGAAGTATAAGAAAAACACAAATAATAAAAAATTGGCTGAATATCCCTTGAAGAGAGCATGTACAGAAGAAGGTAAATATTTGCAGAATAAAGAAGGTATATACTCTCAGAGTATTTTCCGTAATTTGTGAAATCATTCTAATCAATCATTTCTTCTATATAGAGCCACCATGGTCACCTTCACCAAAAAAAACAAAAGATCATGATATGTATGTGCATTATTCCTTACTTTATTTCTCTTTACTCTTTTTTATACCAGAGACTAATCCTTTTTTTTTTTGATACTATCATAAGAGGAACTGCTATTCTCTTTGCAGGAAGAAGCATTCCCATTGGCTGGGACAACTTCAGTGAAATTGTGAATGGAGGTTACACTTTTCTTGACAAAACATCCCTGATTGCTGAATTCATTGAATGCAATTCGAAAGTTTCCCTTGTCATTCAACCAAGATGATTTGGAAAAACAATTAATCTGATGATGCTTAGAGTTTTTTTTTGATTCCCATCCACCCAGACAATGATAATTATCATTGTGAGCTATATTGGGACAATGAATTGTCAAAGTGTAATAGATGTGGTAGATTGCAAACTAAGTTAGATTTTGATATTGTTAATGATAAGAATGTTTACTGTATTAGAAACAATGAAGATTTAGAAGAGAAGGAACTTCCTCCTTTACCTCATGAAGAAATAAGTCAGACTACTTTTTATGAAAGACAAATAAACCCCCTACAAGAACAACTAAATGAGACTGAAGAAAGAAGCCTTAGAAATTGAAAGGGAAGAAGTAGTCAAATTTCAAGAAAAGTCTGAGAAGTGAAGTAAGAGCATCAGGAAATTTTTCCCACCACAATATTATGTCCATAAATTTTAATATGTAAAGTTGTAATATTTGCATAAAAATTATGTAATATTTACACTCAATGTAATAATTGCA